CTATGAGTCTGATATGTCATCCTATTACAGTGTGCTCTTATATTCGTGTTCGATACATTCTACAACTAGTGACTTTTCGAACCGCGTGTAGACGTGTAAACGTCTATGGCTTAACTTAGAAAACTTTACGAAGAGGAAAAATAGTTTTGGCACAGAGGTAAACTTTATACATGAATACGAACAGGTTTAAACGAATGAACACATGTATAATGTGCAAGTTTGCAGTGATTCGATCAAACACTTGAGTAGAAGAGCGAAAAGAAAAGCTCTTTACTTGGTCGTAAACCTATCCTCCTTAGACTTCCATGAAAATACTGACATCGAAATACCTCATTTGCAGGGACAGGTTTTTGTTTTGTGTTCAGACGCACTCAAAACAATGAACGCTATTTTTGAAAATTGGATGTAATATTGGTGTGACAAATGGAGAATAAGAACTGTCCAGGCGGCAGTTTAATCTTGGGTACCTGTTGTAGCTAAAAATTTATAGAAAATGCTTTCGTTTAACTGGTTGGGACCGCATTTCCGACTGTTCAAATAGAGTATTCCTCTTGCCCACAACAGTTTTACTTGATTAGCAATGTTATCGATAAGGAAATCTCTCAGTGAATGGGTGGTTGCTGATAACGCCTGTAGGTCACTAACGTGGCTAAGAGACAGGCGTACAGAAGGACTCGCATGGTGTGTCGTGGTGAACGCGTTAGCTCCCAGAAATAGTAATAATAGTAGTGTCTTCGGTTCTCTCCGCAGCCACCTACGGTCCGGAGTTTTGCAAATATCTCAGCAGCACTATGGTTATATTTCACGTAACACCCTGCCATTATATATTAGCAGGCAGTAAATAAAAATTGACGACTGTCAACACAAACAAAGTGGTCCATTCAGATTGAAGTAGTGGAACATGCAACCCAGCAACAACAATCATCCATTGAAACATTCTCTACAAATACGATCTTTTTGCAGTGAAGAGAAGCCTTCGCTCTTACGCGTAAGTGACATCACTATATGAATCATATGAGGCCATCCAATGAGTTTCAAGCGTAGGTCGTTGTATTGCTTACACTTTTCCATTATGCTTTTTTGTTCCTATCCTCTCTACTTTGCTTCTATATGGTGTCCTGGCGATAGGAACGGCATAGACTCAACAAAATCGTGTCATCACTCTCAAGATTTTAATCTTTTTGAGACATTGGGTGTGCCGGACATGAATAGAGCCATGCAATGGTGGAGAATTATTGAATCTGAAATCGTAGCTCTTTTCATAAGCTCTGAAAGGAGAAGTCTGTCCAAGAAAAAACCAGAAAGCGACGAAAATTTCGCTGATGTTTGCTAATCGGTCTCACATAATCACGAAGTTTCCACATACTATTTTCGCCTAAAGGCGTTTTACATTGATACAGAGATAAAATTGAATTTCATGATCTTGCGAACCTAATCTGTCTTGACGTAATAGAGGCACTTCCGAGGCAACAAATCACCAAACGCGATAGACCGGTAAAGAAACAGATCCTACAAAAAGGGTCCCAAGATGTCAACCTAGAAAGTACATGTGTAAATGACTTTCCTTCCAAAATTACTTTTGAAGACAGATTTTATATGGCAGTTTGAAGGATACCAAGAAGACCTATTAGTTTGGAAAGTTCTTCCAAGACTTGAGTTATTTGAAGTACTAGGTAGAGGTAGCTTAAGCAACCGTATATTGGCTTTCAAAACCTTTTTCATAATGGATTGCAAAAGTTTCCTCTCTGCTGCTCATTTGACACCTTCTTTTTAGAACATCTGCATCTGTTTTCGAAATATTAAAATGTTTCGTGCCAGTTCGTATTTCCTATCAAAGCCAGCACCAGAGCTTCTCCTGGTAATGCGATAACAAAAAACCAGTTCCAACCAGATGAGAGTATTCCTCTGGGACAGATAGATGAGTTTACTTCGGACAGCTGCACACCTACCAGGCACTGACTGAGAGGGAGGATATTGCTGGTGACTAGTTCCAAACAATGATGACATTCCTTACTAGTTTATAGTATGTAACACCACCAGTCCTCTATATAATAGCATTCCACACTCCCTTTTGGTTCTTTTCAATGTCTCGAAGAATTTCCAAACGTTGTGAAAACGTTGATGATAACAAGTCAACGTAGCACATATGGTTGGAATGTTCCAAATAACTGATTTATACTAAAAGAACATAACATGTAAATGTTGGCACAAGCAAGATTGACACTTCGCCTCGATCATTCCATGGCTACACTGGGCTCAATCGATGCTAAAAAATGAAATTTAAGTAGTATAGATCGTTCTTTATGGTGAGTTCTGAAGTGAAACCGTTCTCAAGTCAATAACATAGTCTGCTGCTTTACTTCTAAATCATCTCAACATTTTTTATTGCACGCAGCGCTATTCTAGTCCTGATCGATGTATTCCGAAAACAGCAAGAAGTGGGCAGTTTTAGTCATGAGATTCCATTGAACAGAAAATTTTAACCATTAATAATGCGAAACGTGATTCACCATGAAGGAATTCGACCATTGAACAAATGAAATGGCAAGTCTGCTCTGAATCATCAAAGAACCGCAGATCTTTTTGAATTCATGCAAAATGAAAGAATAATTGGTCATCTGCTAAACGAAAATATGGAAAAACTCCAATTTTGGAGCACCAAAAATGCGTATGTAAATACTCTACGTGCCTTTGTTTGCGGATTTGTGCATGTATTTATGTACGTGTGTGTGCGTGCGTGCCTATGTCTAGTTGTTTGTTTCCAATTTAACATAAACACGCAGTGTTGAAACTCCAAATCTTCCCTCTTACATCTTAATAAGGGCATGTGTAGCGCAGCGCTTACAGGTGCCCTGCGAGGCACAAATAGGTCTTGGTTTGATCACGCAAACTGTCACAAACGAAGCTTCCCAGCCGACTTGGAACATGATTTGTACCAGAGACTGGTAGACTGAAAGACATATGATACATCACTAGACACAAGTAAGTCACTGTGTAGAGCAAATATACATTCACTAAGTTCTGGGATATTCCTGAGTAATCCGTCGATGCTGGAAGCTTTATCCTTTTTTATACCTTTAAATCTTATCATGAAGTGTTAATAGCTCAAGGTTAATTAGTTCAAATGCAGTAGTGCACGTCGGCGTTTAGAAACTCCTAATAGATGGCAATTTTTACCTACTGATAAATAGCTTTGAGTCAACAAGAGAATACGTTTCGGTTTCTTTCGGGATCTGAACAGTACTGGAACTTCGAAAATGGAAAGTTGCTAAGTAAATCAATCCATAAAGGATGAAGCTCTCGGCGTTGATTAATCCCTGAGGGATGCGCCATGCATTCGACTTCATTAATTAACGTTTGAAGCTGATTGAATGCATATCTGGCCTTTGCAATGACTCGCGGTGGCCTAGCGATATATCGAACCAGTGATTCTATACTCCCAGGCAAATCTGGTACCAATTAGCCGACCATGGAGGGATAGAAGTTTTGGTGGGCTATGAGCGCGGGATCAATTCCACGTGTGTTGCAGGACGCCTTCGACCACGGCACCAAGCGTGCCCTAATCATTCGATATCAGAGATAATTGCTAATAGTTTTTCCAAATGTTAACTCCTTCAAGTAGTTCTCGAAATGTCGGCTAAAGTTTTGAAAAGCGCTCTGTCTCTCCGCTCGAATGATGTGCAATACTGAATCATTGAGAAGTATGGACCACAAAAACAATAAAATCATAAGCTGAATATTTAAATGATGTAAACTCACCTGTACGTGAGCCTCGTCGTACTTCAAATAGTTTCATTGCTTTGATATTCACAATTAGGTTTATCGTCATTACTACAATGGCCAGAACAACTAGCAGAACCACCACCATTATCCATAACGAACGAATCGACTCACTAACAATGTCAGTGGTGACAAATCAACCAAAAAGCGAACTGTATGTTCTTATATATGCACATATACACTTCTGTGTATATACGTATTTATATATATATATGTATATGTATATATATATATATATATATATATATATATATATGTTCGAGCTATATAGAGAACGGTATTAACTTACATTACGCATTCATGGTCGACCATGTTTGTTCCAATGTATAAATGAGACCTACCCTACTTTGTAGAGTTTTCATTATCAGCTTATCATATAAAAGTAGTTAAGACATGTTTTGATTCCAGTTTGTTCCAAGAACTTCGACCTGTAACAATGTTATGCGCGTGCTTACCGCACTGGTTACAGAGGCCATGCAATAAACAGTGAATCGATCCTTAGTTCAACCGTTCTCTGAGTGCACCAAGCCTCCCAACATTCTGCGATCCGCAAATTTTACCGGACCAGTCTAGGATCAGCTCACTCCTTCCTGTCAACATTAGGACGACCTAGCATGGCTATTCCAGGATTCTAGGGAGAAGTGGTTTGACTAACCGACCAGCATTCAACGGCATTTATGAATAAGACGACAATCGTCCAATGACAGCCGAACCAACAATTGAAAAGTTCGATAACATTAGTGAGTGATTGATCCGAGGAAACGAATCGAATACTAAGAAGTGCTGGGATCGACGCAATAAATGATGTCGGGTTTCTAAAGAGAGGTTCTACTAATATGTCACATGAATCCCAAAGGGCAAATAGGTAGTGTGAACGTCAAATCAGTGCAAAAGCTTAGAAACGGATCCAATCATTAGAAAGGTGGCTTATTTTCCAGTAAAAACTTAAACCTCAAAACGCCCACCAAAGAACTATAAAACATTATCCTGTTCCTATAATGACAATACAATAATTCCCCTCGCATAGTATCCAGTGTATTTAAAACTTTTGATTTTTTAAGCAAGACATTTTAAGATGTTTTCTGAGAATCGTTTGAGATCGTTTCAGCCTAACATTTGCTGAAGTCGTTGGCAATTTCTGCTGGATAATAAAACTAATATGAAGGAACAACAATTTCGCTTCGAAATTTTTATATAAACTTCTACGAGGGTAAATATTACTATCTTCTTCGCGTTCCATCCTCAAAAAAGACACCGCCATCGATAGCACAATATTTGGGACAGATGCCTTTCTCTCCTAGACTTCCTGCATCTCCTGGTAATCCCGGTGGCCCAGGATTTCCATCTCGGCCGCGAGGACCAGGAGGCCCCGGAGGCCCAGGTGGTCCTGTAGCACCTGGACCATGGGTGTCTCCAATTTTTCCGTCAAGACCTGGAGGTCCAGGTGGTCCTGGAAGACCTCGTAGTCCCGTTTCTGCCGCTTCTGCATAAGTTGTTTCAGCACCCGGTCCCGGAGCTGCCGCTTCTCCTCGCGCGCCATCTCTCCCTCGGGGACCTGGTGGTCCTGGAGGCCCAGCGGGTCCTGGTGCTCCTGGTGCAGCAGACATTCCTGGTTTTCCTTTCGGTCCACTTGGTCCTGATGGTCCTGGTAGACCTGGAGGTCCAGGCGGCCCATCTGGACAGGGCTTGCATGGTGGTGGAGTGATCGGCTCGCACGGCGCTTGTGGTGGTTTCCCTGGCATTCCTGGCAATCCGGGAATACCTGGTTTTCCAGGTCGTCCAGGTTTTCCAGGGTTTCCACTAGGACCACGTGGACCAGGGCTGCACTGGACACTTTTGTCCCCGCTGACTGCTCCTCCTAAAGAACAGGTTGTGATAGTTCTAAAAGTTATCAAGATTAGTTGCTGCGCTTAGAAAATGCATCTAAGAATTGCCTCATCTTCCTACATGTCAAGAGTGATTTAAAAAGTAACCCGAATTTTCGTAGGCACCACGATACTGATTGTCAACAGCTCGAGAAGTTCGATTATGGCCGAGCGAATCTGTTAATACGTCGAATCCATAGGAGATTTCATGAGTGGAAACCTAAAAGTAATATTCAGAATCGCAGCCTTATACGTAGCTTGAAAACCCACTATAATGTAAATGATGGTTTCTCTTTAAAAGAATATCGCTTATCATGAAGTAACCGGTAGAACTTTCCGAGAGAATTAGCTTCGATTTTGTGTGTAATACGGTCAGTATTGGTGGTTTCAAAGACGACACCCATAGGAAACAATTTTGGAGTAAGTCATACAAAAAATCCACAATGGGTTCCAAGCTTGACAACTTCATGTGTTTTAAAGAAGGACTTATTCATCAGGATAATAAGATTTACGAGCATAAGCTGAACCACTTGATGTTCATAACCATTAAGAAAATAGTTGGAATGGAAGTTCGGATGAAGAATGAGATATTTAGATCGCTGCAAAAGGGAACTATTAAAGAATTGCAAAGAAATTTTTGCATGCACGTACTTTGCAGTAACTGGCTTCTTCAATTAGTCGAATCTTCATGTGTTCGGTGCACAGATACACGATCGGCAGTGTGACAGAGATGGCAAGCACAGACGTCACGGCAAACCCGACGGCAATGTTCGACACCAGACGGCATGCCTGAAATTCAGGTTAGATGACCTGGAGCTTCACCTGAGTATTTCAATCATGTGGTTTGGAAGCAGCGAAAATCCGATATGAAAGTACTACAAAAATATAGAGCGCTCGGCGCTGCTCAATCCATGAAGCATGCGTCATGCATTAGACTTCATCAAGTATCGTTAGAGGTGCCTGAATGCTTAGCTGGCCAGTGAATTGTCTTGCAGTGGCTTCCCGATGTATCGAGTCAGTGGTGCTATCCTCACAGACTGATCTAAGCCAGTTTACGTATTCCGAACGTATGGAACGTTTTGCGAAATAGAGTTCAGGATAGAAATAGCCATGTTTGTATTGAAGGACATCTTCAATAATTCTTCTACACTCAGCTTTTATGAAAACACTATATGCGCAGTTTACGGTATTAATTTTAGGAATCCTGCATGGGTGGACGCAGTTGTTAGTGATAAAAAGCTCTAAAGCCAGTGCTGCTATTCCCCCATACAAGTTTGGTACTAATTTGCTGACCTCGGAGGGATAGAAGGCTTGGTGAGCTATAGGCACGGGGATCGATCCGATGTGTGTGTCGCAATGGCGCCTCCAACCACTGCGCCACAAGCACCCGATTGCTAGTGATGACATGTAATAATACGCATAATATCATTACTTCGATCCCTGCAGTGGGAAACTAAGTTTTCCATCCATTTAGAGGCAGTAAGTTGGTACCACCAACAACACGATCGACCAGCATCCCGATATCAAACTAGTTGCATGGTGCCAAATCTCCCTCTGATCCACAAGGGCGGCGACTGCTTGTGGAGGTGTCGACCTGGGACAGACTTTGGCCAGGCTGTCCTCAGAACTCCAGGAAACCACAATGACTAAGCCAGCAAGTCTCCGGAGAATGAAAATTATGCTGGGGTTCGCATAACCAATGAAGACGGCCCGTCCAAATGTCCGAGTAAGTAAATTGGTAGCACGCGTATTGAGAAACAACTCTTCGATTCACTAACGATGGCGAATGCCTTCATTGCAAACCCATGTGCGTCCTCACACAGCTGTGCTACAATTTGAGGAGAAATCTACTTGACCAGCATCCAATAACCTTCTTGAAGAAGATCAAATCTTCAAGTTGAAGCCGAACCTACACGTGTACCCGAAGAATTTCATCAAGGGCTCATACGGTAAAACGAATCGAATAAAGCAATACTCAGATCTGCACGGCATATTGTGTTGGATCACACAAGCAAGCAAGCTAGGTAGTATTAGGGATAATAGCTTAGTGAAAATGGCATGTGCATCATTGAAGATCAAAAAGAAATTTATAGAGATTATCCATCAGTGGATACGACTGCAAGGTGTGAACCATGGTCATCGTTCTAAGCTGTCATATTACCATTGCTACAAATTGTTTCATACGATCCCATAAAAATGAATATGGTCTTTTAAGAAACAAATCAGACTCTATAGATAGAAAGCCATTATAAAAATTAACCTTCAAGTTCCTGTCGATTGTGTTCATGGCAGTCGAACGCATAAAGTGGCATACCATCTGATCTTTTATAGTAAGATAGCAGCGCAATGTGATGGTTGGACGTGATAGTTGGACTAGATCGGTGTCAATTCACTGAAGCGAAAGATTCACGCTAAGATTAAGAGAAGATACGATGTGATTTTACTCGAATAAACAAACTACTAGCAAGTGGGAGAGTGAAAGTGAGGAATGTGAACAGTGTGTGCAGCTACTAGCAAGTCCTACAGGCCGTGTAATATTCAGCACCTAAATGCGAATAAGTACGACATTCCATTTCATCTGTTGTTGGGGTGAATAGGTTTTTGAGAATTTCGCACAGTCAGTCGTTTAAAGATTTTAACCTGGATCGAAATCCAGGGTAGAATATTTCGTTGTTTGGGGAAAATCGATTCACCAAATAATGGAATCATTTGCTCTTCTCCATTCCTACCTGAGTATTCGCATGAGAGAGCAACTCTAAAAGATACATATTCAGCACTGGTAAAAATAAAAAAATTTAATAAGGCACGTGTGGCGCAGTAGTCGGAGGCTCTTTGCAGCACACACGTGGAATCGATCCCAAGCCCATGGCCCACCAAGCCTTCCATCCCTCCGGGGTCGACAAATTAGTACCAGATTTGTCTGAGAGGATAGCGGCAATGTCTCGACACATCGGTAGGAGCTGCGTGTCATGTAAAGGCCAGATAGGCACTTAGTTACCTCCAACGATGTTTAATGAAGTCGAATACATAGTGCATCTCTCAGGGATTGAAGAAAAGCGAAAGTTTTACTCTTTATTCTTCTAGTAAAAATTTTAACTATAGAGGCTGCGACTAATGAAATCAGCTGGCTTTGAGTACTAAATGTAGCAATAAATTTACGTATATGAAATCAATAATCTGGTAAAGAGGTCTCATAAACTACCTTCTATCCAAACATTCATAGTTGACAAGTTTGTATATTCCTAACAGATTAAGTTTCTAATCCTTCTCAAAACAGCTACGGATATGGATGACGTTTCTGCGGTATCCCTATCCCCTTCTTCAGAGCCTGGAAGATTCAAATGGACACGCAATCCACTCAATAAAACACTATTGTAACTTCAGCAGACAAAATTTGGTACATAAATGTTCATTCACATGGCAAACAGCTTTTGGTAAACACACATCGTTTTGTTCGGTGTAAGTCTTCGAGTTAATTGGTGGAGAGCAGTCGCACAGTCTTACAAGGGCGAGAAATGCGCCTGGCTCAGGTAAACAAATCAGCTTGAGATACGCCACGAGATCACTTGTAACCACTAGGCACGCCTCGTTGCAGTTCAATCTTGGATTTTTGCCATTAATCGGAAACGCTCCAATGCGTTGATTTGGTGAAGCTTCAGATTCCTGTGCGAAGGTGGTGACTTTAACTTCAAAATTTTTCTCCGTTACGTCTGTGTGCTCAGTGCGCGCGTTGTGGAGTATTTTGTTTAACTTTACACTTACAAATGAATTTTAGGTTCTTTCTTCCCCCCACTTCTTGTCTCCTTAAACGTTGAGTTCAGTTTTAGTTAGAGCTTTGTGTCTTCGCTATCCATCTAGTAAAAAAGATTCTCTCCAAATTTCTATGCCACTGCCTCTACTAGATCAGTTTCTGTCCAATATTGAAATAAAGGAAACACAATCGGAGTTTGAATAAAGTTTAGCAGTCACGAAAAAGCGGTGGGTTTTTCGAGAAGTTGTTGATCGTGTAATTACCAAAGAGTCTTTCGTCTTTTTGTAAGTGTTATTGAAGCGTTTGGCCTTGTAGATTGTATATCAGCATGCCCTTCCAGGCTCTGAAGAAGGCGATACTGCCGAAACGTCAGCTAGCGTTGTATTGCATTGTGTTTTTTATGGAAGTAAATGTATGCTGTTTAAAAACCTCGCGATTGCTGAACAAGAAAACGACACATTCATATTCCAATACCGAGGTTAAGAGAAAGTCGATCCAGGGAACTATTACAAAAAGTTTAGCAGTTTCTTTACAACAACAGATTTGGCGATGAAACACGGAAAATGCGTGCAATGTTAATGAAGGCATCCAGCTGGGAATCTGTAGTGGATGTACGATGGATTTGCGTTCAAAGCGAGAGTGGAAGCAATCCGCCTCGCTTGACGATGATCATCTGAAAACGAGAAGCAGTAGAAGCAGAAATCGAACGAAAACATAGGACATACAGAATGGTTTAAGAGATTGTGGATGAAGTGGCAATAAGTATAGCAATAATTATGGGATACATACGAAT